ACTCTCTTTTCATGGTCTCTGCCTTCCCCATCCTGGTTTTATGCCGTGAAACCTAGGCCACTGTGACCTCCTGAAAACACAGGGCAAAGCTCGAGAAAAGAGGTTGAGGTGGGCAGCAGTCGGGGTTTTAAAGAGCTGTCCACACATACTGTCTCTCCCCACGTCCTGTTCACTCATCCAGTCACCACCTCTACGGAGGTGCTGAGCCGCTTCCTCGGCCCCCTCCCACCACCCTACTGCCTGTCATCATTTCTCAAAGGAACAATCCAGGATGACCTCCCATGGTCAAATTCAGCGGCTTTCTCCCAGAGCTCGTTCAACTTGATTCTAAGGGGGAGGCTGGGCTGTTGACCAGCCATTTCCTCCTAGAAGCTGTCACACCCCCTTGCCTGCTAAGACACCAGTCCCTCCAGGCTCTCCTCCTCCCTCTCTGAGCCCTGTCTTCTTCATAGGGTCCTCTTCCTCTTCACCCCTCCCCCCTGCACACCGATGTGCCCCTGGTCCCGTGACCCCCCTCCCCACAATGCCTTTAGACCAGGATGAATCTGAGTCCACAAAAGCACAATATTTCTGTGACTTCTGTTCTGTCACATAAACCTCTGCACTGTAGCAGAAACTTTAAATTGTGTCCAGTACTTGGAGCTAAAGCCTTTACTTGAGAGAGAAATAAATTTCTATCACACTTAAGTGTTTGGTAATTTGGGGTTTCTGTTGTAGAAGCTGAACTAGTATTCTAAATAATAGAGACAAAGAGATCCTAAGTCCATTTCTGTAGCATTTTCCAGCTATCAGGTCTTGGGGAAACTACTTACTCTTTCTAAGCTTTAGTTTCCTTAGCTATTTCCTACGGTCATTTTATAAATAAATGAGATAACATTTAATAAGACACCTACTACAACATCTAACATATACTTGGAGTTCAACTGGTATTGAGACAGACAGCCCTGCCATCTTTGCAAAATGCCAACATGAGCCCATGGCCCCTCGACTAAGAACCTTCAAAAACTACTTCTCTTTCAACAAACAACAAACCTTTCACAGGACCAAAAGAGCCCTGCCTCACTCACCCACCCTCTCTGGGCCAACCTCCCACTCCCTGGGCGTCGCTTGGCTACACTGACCTTGCAGTTACCTCACTCCTTCCACAAACGTTGATAGGGGGCCTCTCACATGCCAGACACTGTGCTGGGGCTCCAGACGCAGGCCTTGGCCCTTGCTCTTAGGAACTCTGTAGTCTAGTGAGGGAGGGGAAAAAGACCAAATAAACAATACATGTAGCTAACATTTATTGAGCACTTGCTGTTTGCCAGGTGCTGCCCCAAGCCATTTTTACAGGTATAGACTCTCAGTTCCTACAACAGCCTCTGAGTTAGGTACACTATTATCCCGCGTTTATCAGGTGTGGAAACAGAAGGAGAGCAAAGTCAAGCAATGTGCCCAAGGTCACACAGCTGGTAAGATGGAGCCAAAATTTCAACCAGCTGATCTTATACCACAGCCTGTGCACCTAACCACTACTCTACCTGGCCTTCAAATGAGTGTCAAATTACAGCTGTAAAACATGCCACCCAGGGGAGGTCCTGCCCCTCCTGTCCCTGGGCCTTGACACATGCCATTTCCTCCGCCTATAACGCCTTTTCTCCCTCCTCTGCCTAATTCACTTCTGTTCACCCTTTGTACCCTAACATTTGGAAAGTGTCACTTCCTTAGGGACACCTTCTCTGCTCCCCCGCAACCCTCCAGGTCCATTTACAAACGTGCTACATGGCTTTCCTCCAGGGTACTCATCACATTGTAGTTACATATTTGCTAATTCTTTGTATGTCTTCCCCACTCTCCCTTAGACCTGGAGTGCTGCAAGAGAGACGAACACTCCAATATGGCTCAGTGCCTAGTCCAGCACTTGCACACAGTGGGTGCTCAGTACATATCTGGTAAATTAATTGATTGACTGACTGATTGGCTTACCTCAAGGTAGCCCTGAGGTCTCCACCAGTTCTAAGACTCTATGGCTGTGAGGTTTTCTTCATCTCTCCCCGGTCGTCTCCTGCCTTCCTCGGGACCTCTGCCCCATATGGGTCCTGCTCCTAATGTCCCCAACCAGCTCAAGCTCCCTGAAGGAGGGGCCATGGTGCTGCCAGGTCAGAATCTGCTCATACAGGATGTGGGACTGGGGGAGGACAGGGGGCTGGAGACCTCATAGACACCTCCTAGTTTCCCAGGACCTGACCCAAAAATGAGAGGTTTCCCAAGACCGACCCAGGAGTCAGGAGATGGAGCAGAGGCTGGGAGGAGGGGCGCAAACCCCGGACATCCTGTCTTGATGGCCAGAGATGATCTCTAAACCCCATAAAAGCTGGAGCCATGGAGGCGGCTGTACCACCATCCCCAAGCGCTGTGGTCTGGACTCAGGAGCCAGCGAGATCAATATCGTTCGGGAGGCTTTCAGCTCCAAGTCCTTTCTGTTGCCAAGTATCCCCAGAGGCCTGAGGAAATGGTGCGGAGGAGGCAGGAGGCACAAGGAGAGGAAAGGGAGTGCATATTCCTTGAGGGCCGACAGCCCAGCAGTAGACCCAGGGCCATCCTGCGCGCTGCACGTTCTCCATCCTCACAGCAGTCTTCCAGGGTGGGTATTATCCCATTTCACAGATGAGGAAACTGGGGCCCAGAGAGGGAAAAAGCTCTCCCAAGATCCTAGCAAAGTCAGAGCCAAACCCAGCCGTGCCTGGCTCTGAGGTCAGCGCTCTCCAAGGCAGGTCACACTTGAGGAGATTGATGTCCGGTAGGTCACAGGGCCCAGCCACATCTGCATTCTGGGCTCAGGAGGGAAAAGGGGGCTCTCCTAGGCTGTGCCTGAAGCCCACACCCAGGTTGGAGGCTAGGAAGGTCCTTCTGCAAGCCTTCTCCCCACCACCTGCAGGGACAGGGAACTCACTCCTTTCAAAGCATCCCTTTCCATAACCAGCAGCTCCTCTTGCCTCCCTACAGACTTCACCTGGTTGGCAGGTCTGGGGTGAGTGGTGGGCAAAGGCTCCGCCTTTCTAATAAGGTCCCTGGTGATGCCAACATACAAACAAATGGAAAGGTCCCTTGGGTCTTCTGTATAATATGGTGTCATGACCACTCTTCTCCTAACCCAAAGCCCTCTGCAGCAGCCATAGTCCCTTTCCCCCTCATCAGGGCACCAGGAGCACAACTGGCCCCCACCCTGCCTCACTGTTTAGTCCCCTCAGAGCCAGGCTGGATCAGCCTAGCTCCCAGACTGTAGCCTGTCTATCTCATCTGTCTCTCTTCCCCTGCACGAGGCCCAGCCAAGGTATCCATGTCCCTCCACAGCTGGGTGGCATCAGAGGGTGACGTCCCCATCACACACCAGGAGCTCTGTCCACTCCCCAGGCAGGCAGCCCAACTGCCCAGCTCCCGGAGGACCCTGTCTGACCAATGCCATCAGTTTTGTCTCCTGTCTGCCCATCACGCACCAGGGTCTTTCCTTCCCTCCTGAGGTGAACCCTGAGGGCAGAGGAGGAGGCATGAGCTGGTCGGCTTGCCTGGGCTCACAGCCTGGCTCTGCCGCTTACTTACCAGCTTTGTGATTCTAAGCAATCTCTGGGCCTCTTTGAACCTCGGTTTCTTTCTCTGTAAAATGAGGACAAGGACAGCCCTTATCTCACTTATCTCACTGAGTTTGTGTGCATGAGAAAGCACACAGACGTGCTCGGCAAAGTCTTGGCACTTAGCAGGTCTGCCAATGCCAGCTGTCACCAGTAGTGACAAGACCAGTTGTGCCCGTTAGAAGCAACGTGACCTCTCGCAGCCTCAGTTTCCTTATTTGTCACTTGGGTCTAATGCTACCTACCTCATGGGTTTATTGGGAAGTTGACACAACAATACCTAGCACATAGCAGGCCTGGAGTAGACGGTCCTCTTCCACCACATGCAGGAGCTGTGCTTGTCTTTGTATCCCTTCCAGCAGTTCTCAGAGGACAGTCTGGGGACTAGGGGTCCCAGAGACCCTTTCAGGGGTTGTATGAGGTCAAAACTATTTTCTGAATAATACTAAGCTCTTATTTGTCTTTTTCACTCTCATTATCTCACGTGTCTAGTGTTTTCCAGAGGTACGTGATGATATCACAACAAAGTGAGTGTGGAAGCCAATAGAAGAACTGGCTTTGAGAAATGCAAAACAGTGTTACTCTTTTCACCCAATTTTTTAGAAAATATCATTTCTCATAAAATTTCTATTTATGTTAACCTGTAGTGAGTTTAATATTGCTATGAAAGTGAATTGGTAAACATTTTTAAACGCTCTGTTTTCATTTATAACATGACAAATCTGGATAGAACCCATATGGAAAAAAGCTTTTTGGGGTCCTTGATAATTTTTGAGTGTACAGGAGACCCGAGACCAGTGTGAGAAGCTGCCCACGGTTCTCACTGTACCGGCCACATAGGGGTCTCAGCACACTTGTGCTCGGATCAGCCCTCCAGCCACCCTCCCAGCTGCACTGTAAGCTCAATGGGGAATTAGAGCTGTCACGTGAGTATTTTCAGTATCCCAGGCACCCTGCACTGTGCTAGCATGCTCAGTAGGTACCACCCCAAACTTTCTGAATTGCAAAGAATTCACTCAGGACCTCCAGGGTGGCACTAGCCTGCAAACTGAGCTGACTCAGAGCCAGGGGATGGAGACAAGCTCCTGATTTTACCATTTGAGCCCCTGGGTCCACGTGCCTGGACTCTTGGTCACATTTACCAATAAATTCCTTTTTTAATTTCTTAAGTCATTTAAGCTGTTTGTCTTCTAGCGGAAAGAGTCTGGATGAAGGAGTCACAATAATCAGAACCCAGATCTGGATGGTGGGAAGCAGCTGGGAGGATCCAGGTGAGTGGTCCAGCAGAGGCATCCCTGGAGCCACCCAGCCAGAGCTGGGGTGAGGCTGCTCCTTGCCCACCGGAGACCTGGCAGACCCCTTTCCAAACAACACAACTGGACAACAGCATGGTTTTTCTTTCACTTTATCATTTATAAAGCCATACAATGGATTGCAAAGAAACAAAGCCGCTGTACAGGAGCGGGACAGCCTCAGTGTACAACACATTCATATCCAGGGTAAGTAGCGTAATTGGGGTTTATACAAGGCGGCGGAGATTATAGGCACAAAGATACAAAATAGAAAGTATATTTCCATCTATATAAATACAATCAGGGGGCGAGAGGAAGGAGGATGGCAGGTTGTTCTGTTTCTCCTGCAGAGGTCCTGGGAGCAGGAATGGGGTGGGGCAGGAAGAAACTGCTTACATTTGTTTTGAGTGACATGTCAGAGGGAGGAGAGAAGTCAGGAAACAGCATGCAAACACGGATGCGCTCCTCGCACACACACACACCAAACACGGACGCAGGAGAGTCTCACACTGCTTAACACTGATTAGAAAACAAACTTGGGACATCCCTCTACAACTAGCTCGCTGCTGGGAAGAGTCCGGTGCAGGAAATAAACAGAGGTCCCCCTCCAACATTTCAGACATCTGAGCCCCGCCCCATCACCCACACTGAGATTCCACCGGTCGGTGCCCTTCAGGCCTCGCCTCCTGATTCCTTCCGCGCTGGATGATATTGAACTTGACATCCTCCTATTGCCCACCTCCTCCAACCCGACTCTAAGTTCCCTAGAGAGATGAGCAAAATACGCACACACATACACCCACACTTGCACGCACGCGCACACACGTCCTGTGTTACCACTGGCCTGGGGTCTCTAGTCTGCAGATTCCGGGGCCTGGACCTGGGTGAAGAGTGGCTCCAGGGCCCAGCCTCTGACTTTTCCAAGGACCCCGAGTGTGGGGGCATGTAGGGCCAGGAGGCCACCTTTGGTCTGGGCATTGGCCAACTTAATCTCCCCAGGTCCTGAAGCTAGGAAAAAAACAAAGAAGGGAGAAGACCCAGGAGGCAGGGTGGTGGTCCCTGTCCGGGGCATCGGTGCTGTTCCACCTACAGATTCCTCCATAGCCCTGGAGAGCATGAGGAGTCTGCCCAACCTCCGCTCATGCCCGTCAGAGGAAGGCCGCGAACTCCCTATTCATCTCCCTCCTGGGGGTCCCTTCAGGGAAGGGTCCACCTGTCCAGCCAGCTGCCTTCTCTTATGGTTACACAACCACCAAGCCTATCACCCTGTCCTGCCAGTTCAGACACACCCAGGGACTCCCCAGAACCCAGTGCAGAGGAATCCTGGCCGTCCACAAGCTTTTGGAGCAGCTGCAGGAAAGGTTTCCATGAGCACCGGGATCAAAGGCCTTTCCAAACCTAGGACATAACGTGTTTGTCCTCAAACACCTGGCTAGATAAGGGAGCCAGAACACCGTGATCTCAGGGTAGGGGATTCCAGTCACCCCTGGAGGCTGATCAGACAGCTCACTTCCTCCCGATTTCCCCTCTGGGTCACCTTCCCACTGTTCCCGTGCCCAGCTTCCCCTCTAGTTCCACCTTGGAAGAGCCACGCGGCCGGCCATCCCTGGGCCTGTCTCCCTGCTGTGCTGGAAGGCCTGCCTCAGAGGCCTGGCTGGACAGCCAAAAGCAAGCTGGGCCTGGGGCCCGGGCTGAGCCTGCCTAGGGCTGTGTTGCTGACTCACAAGTTGACCGTGTGGCTCCCAGGCCCCTCCCCACCCCCACCCCCAGCTTATTTTCAAGACCAGACAGCACTCTCCTGGCTGACAAACAGATTCAACACTAAACAACAGCGAGTATGTTGAGGGAGGGGGAGGAGAGAAAAATGATAAACATTTACGCGATAATAATAATTATTAAAAGTGCTTTCTTTTAAAGGACATCTTTGGCAAGAATATACTGCAGTGCTGCTGCTGCTGTGTGTGTGTGTGCGTGTGTGTGCACACGCGTGCGCATGGGTGCACCAGCCTACCCTGTGAGACAGGAGGACTACAGTGTCTTCCCAACCAGTGTCTGATCCAGAAGGGGGGGCCACTGTGGAGACTGAGGTGCCTTCCCCATCATTCTTCTGGAAAGGCCAAACTCTAGGAGACTGACTCCCTCCACAGTGATACCAGAGCAAGCAGATCAGCTTCCCAGCACCCCCTAGGTCCTGCTTGAGGAATCACATTCAGCTGGGCCTGAGTGGTGGGCTGGCCATGCCGGGCAGCGGGCTGCGGTGGGCGGTGGGCAAGCATATGAGATGGCTGACCCCCCAGCCCGGGTCTGCCCAAGGGTCTGACACTCCGCCCGGCCTCAGTGTGGAGAGGAATCCAGACCAGGAGGAGAGAGTCCCAGGCTGTCCAGTGGGAGGTTAAGATATTTACAGAGGAAGGGGGTGGAATCTCTCCTATCTGGGAAGAGAGAGGGCTAAGTAGGGAATGAGGAGAGGGAAATCCCAGCCTCTGGCTTGAAAGCCTCAGAAGGAAGAGCACTTTGGAAGAACCTTAGTCACCAAGCACAAGGTTTCAATCTTTGGGAAGCTGAGGACTGTTCCCTGCCTTCTTTAGACACTCTCCAACTCCCTGAAATAGTGTGTCCACACAGATACAGCTTCTTGGAGGAGAAAAATACAGGAGACGCACACCTTACCCATGCCCACCACCCTTACCCGTGGCCTCTGCTGGCTCACGCTCGCTCGAGCCCTGGTGAATGGGCTCATCTCGGGGCCTGATGGCCAAGGCCTGGGCTCACCAGAAAATAGGGGGCCAATGAAGATGGAACACATGCACCCCTCCCTGCTGAGCCCCAGACAAAGTCTAGGGAAGGCCAAGGCCAGGGCAAGGAGACCCCTGATTGCTCCAAGGATAATGGCCCCTACATTTCAGGCTCCACTTATACACGTGAAGAGGGATGGGAATTGGTTTATGCCCAGGGAGGCAATAGAGCAACATGGGAAAACAATAAATACTTCTTGTCAATTTACCTACTCTTTTTTTTAACCTTTTCTTATATTTTATTAGCTTACAGATTCTGTCAGTATGTCTCACATATATATTATATATATTTATATATCAATACAACGCCTCTCTCTAGGAGACCCCAGAGGCTTAGAAGCCCCTCAAGAATGGAGTCCTGGTGAAGTTTCCATTCCAGCTGAGAGTCCTTGGGTGGAGGTCGGGGGGTTCCCAATTGCCCAGATGGACTCTAGGCCCTTTTGGCCTAAATGTGTGCCTTCTGCCCTCTGCTCACGAGCAGCTTGTCTCTGCTGGGGAAACCGAGGCAGAGGGGGAACAGCAAGGCTTTGGTATTGTACATAGGCCATGTGGTATGCAGGCAGCAGCCCAAGAGCTCTGCTCAGTCACCCTGGACAGCCCAGCAGAAGTCAGACCCCAAGTCCTTGCCAAGGGGAGGACAGGATTATAGGCAATTCCCCTGGGCCTTGCTGAGCAGGGCTCTTGGAAGCAGGTTCCCCAGGATGAGCCCAACATGGGGACCCTGCAGGACAGAACAGGGCTGGGCAGATCAGGAAGGCTCAATCCCCAGCACCCAAAAAGATATCATGCAGATAAGCCGGTCTGAGATAAGGCTGGTGTGAGCGTGAAACCCAAGAATGGGTTGAGGGCTGGGAGCTGGTGGGAGCAGCCTGCCCACCTCACTGCTGGGCCACACAACTTGGGGAAGATGCCTGGAGGTCAACAGCCTTTGTGGCTGATGGATCTCTTCCCCAAGGCTATGGAAACGCATGTCTTCATCTCTTGCAACCAATGGTCCTGCCTCCTGGTCAAGGCCAAACAAGGGTAATGCTGCAGGGTGGCCGGCCCCACTCCTGCTGGGGTCTTGGTCAAGAAGAGGGGGCTGGCAGCACTCAGGGCCACCAGAGTGCAGGTACAGGGACCAAGGCAGAATCTCTTACCCATATTCCTCGGTGCTCCTGGGGAAGAAGGCCAATGTCCCCTCCCTGATGCTGAGTCACCCCAACTCTGACCGTCTTTGGACAGTATGCACGTGTGTGCGAACACGTGGAACATGGACAAGCACACCTGTTCATAATTCTAGCTGAGGCAAATATAAATCAGAGTGTGAGGATGTGGCCTCTGCTCACAAGCAGTTTGTCTCTGCTGGGGAAACATATACACGCCCCACACACACCCACGCAAACTATACATCAGAGGCAGAGCACAGAGACCTTAGGTGCCTCGGGTCTGAGATACTTTCAAAAGCAAAAGTTCTGCCACATGATATCCCAGGCTGGCTCTTTTTGGTTTGACAATGTACCCTAGGGGTGGCCAGAAAAAGATTCTCTTGACTTGATTTCTCCTTGCAAAGCAGTTGGGCTAGGGAGACACTTTTCCATTTTCCCCCAAAATATGGATCCCCAAAGAGGTCAGTTTTGCCTCCTTCGAGGAGCCCCATCCTCTGGGAGGGCGCGAGGGGTTAGGTGGACCTGGTTAGTTTGGGAGGCGTTGGGGGCTCGCAGGGCCCATCTACCCAAGAAAATCCGCGTTACCCTCTTCCAGCCTTTTCTTTCCGCCTCTCCCCCTCCCCCTCCCCTCTGCAATGCACCTTCCTCTCCCCATGTTGCACTTTCTTCTCTCCTTCTCCAAAATTGGCCCCAAGTCCTCCTCCTGGATTAAAGGTGGTCAGGATTCACGGGTGCCCTCCCCACATGCCCCATCCCCACTGCCCTGGCCCAGGGCATGGGGTGAGTTCATCTCTTCTGGCCGGCACTCAGCATGACCTTGGAGACGAAGTTGACAATGGCAGAGGCAGGCTGGTTGGGATCAAGCTCAGCAAAGAGGTGGCAGGCGTTGTCCGTGGTGCTGCCCTGCTTCCGGGCCACAAAGCCGAAGAGCCTGCAGGGGCAGGAGAGGGGTGACAGGTGTGAAGGTAGGGAAGGAGGGGCCCCAGGCCTTGGAGAGCCACCCACGTGAGCAAGTATATCTTCAGGCCACCCGCCCTACCCCACCTCTCCGCATCTCCCAAGCATAGAGATTGGGGGGCGGGGAGAACATAAGAAAGAATCCTCTCTCTCTTCCACTGACAAGAAAGTCAAACGACACTGGAGAGGGGAGGCGGAGCTGCAGGCAAATGACAAGACTGGACAGTGAGAGGTGGAAATGAGACCAAAAATAAAATGGGGACATTCCTAGCAGAGCTTCTCTCAGTCCATCTCAGCCCCACCCTTATCCAACTGTTCTTACGCAGGACACATGAACAAATGACCAAAATGCCGCCTGTCAGTCAAAGGGCTGGATCTCCTCAGACACCAGGAGAAGGTCAGGGAGACAAAAGGACAAGGGCCACTGCCCTCCCCCCACCACACACACATATTTCTCTTGGGTTCCAGAGAATGGGAGGGGGAGGGAGACCCCACACCTGTTCCCCCAACCCCCACTCCCTGCACCAAGGCTGGAGTGAACTGGCATTCTCAGTGCAAAACAGAGTTAAAAATATGAGAGCAGAGAACAGAATGTGAGCTCAGGTCCCCTCCCAGCCAGCATGTTGCTAATTAGAGTGAGATGGGGAAATCAGGACAGCTGGAGATTCCGACGGAAACCCCTCTCCCTAGGACTGGACCACGACAGCTAAAATTAGAAAGTTGGGTCCTGCTTGCAACCCTGTGCACGCATGTGTGTACACACACGCGGGGCTTCCTTCAACTGTTCCAGGGACTGGGAACCAGAGGTCTGGGACAATGGTCTAAGTCGTGGGAAAGCCTGGGTCCATGGCCAGCCCCCAAATCCCCTTTCCATGCTTACTGGGCTCCTTGGTGTGGTGGAGGGCGCTCAGGGCACCAGGAGGGAGCGGCTCTGAGCTGAGGGCATGATGGCACGCCACCTCGGGCTGCCAGGTTCTCCCATGGTGGAGAGTCTGCCAACCTCGTGGCCTAACACCACCTGCCTCCCTCTCCTGATATTTATTTCAGCTCCAAGGCTTCCAGGGCCAGTTCAACAATAGCCAATTCCTTTCTCAGCTTAGGGAAGTGGATTGAGGCTAGAAACCTCAGCCCCAAGGGCAGGGAGGAGCGCTTTCAAGGACCTGAGAGCTACAGTCTCCTTAAATTCAGGGCCTCAGACAGCTCATGTGCCTCACCCTAGTCCTGGCCCTCAGTGGGCTCCCTGGGCTTGCGCCCTGCCCAGTCAGGCCAGGTCAGCAGGAAGCTCAGCACAAAACTCTGCTCTTGAATGTGGAGAATGACTTTCTGGCCTGAGACCAGCCCACTTCTGTCCCTGACCTCTCAGGGCCCAGTCATCAGTGAACAGGAGTTTCTTCCAACATGAAGCTCTGGCTTCCTGGTTGGTGGCAAGGAGAAGGCGGAGGCAAATGTCAGACAAGCTTGGAAAAGGCTGGACACCTGGGTCCTCCTTTCAGCTGGGCTGTTGACTCTTCCTGTGATCTGGGGCACATTGAGATCCCATCCCACACAGCTCCTCTGGACACACAGCCCCTCTGGACACACAGCCTCACTGCTCATCATGCTAAGTGCTGGTCAGTTTCCCTCATTCTTGACCAAGGTGGCCTCACTGCAGCTCCTCCTCACTCTCCTCCCTGCCTCGTCCACTCATTTCAACCTTAGACAAATATTTATCAGCCTTTCCCATGCAGTAGACACAAATCTGTCCCTGTTCCCTCCCAACTCCAAAGAGCACAGAGACCAGCCAGCGGGGGTGGGGAAGAAGCCACACTTACTTAGCAGGGGCACCTCCCTCGGTCTTCATCCACCTGCAGAGAGAGCACAGCGTAAACCACTACACCTTCTCCCTGGAGCTCAGCCCTGTGCATACCCGGACCTTCTGGGGGAGGGCAGAGGAGCCCTGTTTCGGTTAGGGGGCATTCAGATAAAGAGAACTTCAGCCTGCCTCCCAAGGGGCTTTCCTCAGTGTGGAGAGGAGAAGCAGGTTCAGGGCCAGGGACATGACAGAGGGGGTGAAAGAGGGCATTTGAGTCCCCGGGAGGGTCTCCAAATTTGTTGTGGGAAAACTCAAAAAGATGCCTCACACAATTACTCCCACTCTCACAGACACAGACAGGTCTTCAAGCTGAACCAAAAATATACACACAAACACATACACACACATGCACGTACACATGCGCGCACACACAGACTTCAGCGTTGTAGAGCCGCTGGGAAGGAAGGTGTCTACAAGAGACTCACTTTCTCTCCTGTGGATCCAGGTCACAGAAGGTGACAGTGTTGAGAGGGTAGTGTCGTCTGAAGAAGAGCCTGTGGCACAGACATCAGATAAACAGAATGAGTACTGAAGTGACAGGTCAAGCCGCCTTCCCATCATCTGTGGCTGTTGTAGGTCAGCACAGCCTCTCCCTTATGACCAAGACAGCCTGGGCTGCTCATACTGGGGACATAAGCAATGCACGGGGACAGAGAGTCATAGGAACACTTCTCAAATGCTAAAGGTTAGGAAAGGAAACTGGCATTGAGGAGTGAGAAATAGGGGGACCCTGGAGGAGGAAGGAAGAGAGGGAACATGTTAGAGAGAGCATGAGAGGAAGGACTCTGCTCTAGAAAGGAGGTACTTTTATCAGTTGCATTGCAGCTGTGTACCCATTGCAGGCATATTTGTAGAGAGATGGAAAAATGGGTGGATGGATGGGTGGGTAGATAGGTGGAGACATACATGGATGAAAGAATAAATGGGGAAGTATACTTGGGGATGAATGGATGCAGAGATGGGTGAATCAACTGGTGAGTGGGTGAGCAAGAGGATGGAGGGACTGAT